CAAATCAGAAGTGGTAGAGCCAGAATACAGCCTGTTGGCAAATACAAATTTATTTTATGAAACAACAAAATATTTCTATTTCTTCTGCAACTTAATTAGCCAATACTAGCAACAATAACAGAAAGTGAAAACAAAATTACTTACTGTCCCACAATTAAAATTTTGAGTTCTATATTCTCTGAGCTTCCTACTTGATTGTAATTTTAAAGATGCTTTTATGAATGTCTAGAATATCAAACCCAGAATATTCATACCTGAAAACCATGTGGATAACCCAAGAATACCTGTCACAAACTCATGACTGTCCATGTTTCTTTATATGGTTGTTAAACTGTACTTCTTGCATCCACAAAAAGCAACAGGCAACATTAAAAAGCAAGTAAAAAAAATCCCAATATAAAAAAATATAAAGATAATTTCATCTTCATAGTTTCTATTTTGCAGAGAATTTTGAAAGCTCGATTAGCTCTGATACAGAAACTACACGACACAATCTCAATACAAATTTGTGTGCAGCGGCTACCTCATCAAATACATTTGAAGGTTATTCAGCATTTTACACTTGTGAACTCTCAGAAGTGAAGAGTTCTAAGGCAGGCAATCACTCTTGGCTCTTGTCACAGGAATCAAGATTCCAAACTGAAAAATTCACAGGCTATAGGGGTTCACAAATTATAATCCTATATTAGCAACGGGTTCTAAAGTACTCTATTGCTTGACATCGAGTTTAGCTGCTAAATTACTCATTGTGAACACAAATGCTACGGATGTGAAAAGGTTTGTTTCTGAATTTTCCTACACTGAAACTACAGTAACTTTATGCACTTCAGTGAATTCAAAGTATCAAAACATTAATATTGTAGGAAATTAATTTTTTAACATACTGCATGAAATAATGAAAATACCTGGCTAAACAGAACTTCAGACTCTGAGGACAGGTTCTGTAGCAAGACTTATTCATACTGACTTTTCATTAGTCAATTAATTTCCCTTGGTACATGCTGACTAATACGGTTGTTAGTCCTTACCAGTAATACAGCTTCAAACTCAAAATAAAGAACAGCTTTAATAAAAGTGTTACGCTTTCTCCCAGTGAAAATAATAATCTACTCCAAAAAATATTACTTAACTGATGCAAAATTGGGAAGCCAAGGAACAGAATCATGAGCATTATTTAGCATTTGGGGAAAAGGATGGTTTTGGATTTACCAATGATTGCTAGTAATTAAAGAAAAAGAAGAAAATACAACAGGAAAATGTTTTAAATTTTAATTTAGGGCGTTTGCAAGTATAAAACAGTGACATTAAAGTCCTTTAAATCACACTCTGTAGCACAAAAAGTTTTGGGGTTTTTGTTTGTTTGTTTTGTTTTTTCTTAAACGCACAGATTATCGCATACAGAAGAGTCCTTACTTGTTTTTACAATATTTCTTAAATTTGGACAGTGTAACAACAAATGAAATCCCTCTTCAGTCTGCCCTCCTTGATCAATGCTAGATTTTGAAAATGGAAGTAATTTTCCCTTTTCAAATGCACCATCTGATTTCATAGGCACAATGCATTTTCAAGAAGCAGTAGAAAGACTTGAAAAATAACCTTCCATCAACTATTTTAATCATACTCGTAAGTATCTCAATATTTATTACCTGACAGACAGTGTAAGATAAGAGTATGTTCAACTGGTAGAAAATATCAATCAAGTAAAACTTGTCATACATCATCTGAATAAAATTCATAATTGGATAAGTTTTCAGTGTCATTTTCTTGAAATCCTCTTCCAGAATAATGTATTCCTATTTTTATGGTTGAGAAAAGAGAGTGTTTCTTTTTTCTTCATGCACTGTTTGCACTGGAAGTTTCGTCAATAAAACTCAAAGAATCTGTATTCTTTGGTGGACTACAATTTCTTTAAATTATTCTGAAAAAACTCTGTACAGAGTGTCTTTTACCAAAATACAGCCTTACAGAAGACTGTGAAGACATTCAGTGTCCCATAAAACTGGGTGAATAAACATCTTCTTTGGATAACTGTAACTCAAAGTTATTAAATCCAAGACAATGAATATCTGGAATAATGAAAGAGCCGCATTGGTGGATCTGTACCACAGAGGGAAAAGCATCAAGAACAAAATCACTGTTTAATGTTCACTCACCAAAAAGACAAAGCGGACATTAGAATGTAGGAAAAGTGAACAAACTATAATAGCATTATTGTATTATGTTACTGTAATGTAGTAAAATATGATTACAAGAAAAGTGACTGTTTAAAAACAGATTAAGGAGGCAGCACGAGAAAAAATACAAAACAATCAGAAAAGATAAAATAGCAACCCTCATCTTATTGCTCACCATCCAAGAACGAAGATATAATTTATGAAAAGTAAATTTTCTGAAAAAGAAAGACACCAGGTAGATTCAATTTGTGGAACTCCCCATCCCAGTACAACATGCGAAGTATTTGGTAAAACATATAGAAGAAACCAATCTCAAACTATACACACATATATATTTATACATATCTATTACATATATATATATATATATGCGCATTATTCATACACTACATATAAAAAATATAACTAGTCTTGGTTGGAAAGACATTGTCCCTGTCGAAAATCAGTACTACCAATTATGAGTTTTATTTCTTCTTCACTGAAGTAACCAGTACTGGGGGCTGACAGAGACAAGATACAGTATGAGTCACTACTAAAAATCAATTTTTTCAAGATAAAGCAGGTAAAAATGAAACTATTTCTCTGTGTATGTTATGCAGACAAAACGTTGATTAAAATGTGATTTTGAACTTATATTTACCTTCATGGAAATTATTTATGTGAAGGAAGTACTTGCAGACCACCTAATTAATACAGTTGGGAGGCAAAAGATAACACAGAAAATACTGAAACAGTAGTTCAGGGAATAAATGTAGAATTTACTATAGCTTCAGAAAAATAGTGTGCATTTTCTATGCCTTCAGTGTACTGACTTTAAGATTCAACAGAGAAAGCACATGCTAGAACTTACTCTGATCAAATTAAATACACATACAGAAATGCACTTGGAAAAAAAATCCCTCTTACTCTCTTGGAAAGAAAAGATATTTTCTTTACTTTTCAATCCAGCAAGAAACCTCAGCAACAGAATGGTGAGTAGCTGGGTTGTGAGAATGTGAGCAGCTGCTGTTATTATAACTAAAGGTCTGTCTACGGCTTGAGCCTGAGAGACCACATGTTCGGCTGTCCTCTCATCTCGCCATCCTCACCAATTAACTATTAACATGGAGGGCTGTACACATGCTCTCAGGGGCTCTTTAACAGGCTTCTTGGAGAGTGGAACAACTACACAGCAGGGCTCTGGGAACTGAGTAATGTGGGGTATAAGGAACCCTCAGCAGCTTTGCTCCTCCTAATGACAGTTTTCTCCATAGTTCAGTGCTTGAAGGATACATGAAGTTTAACTATCTCAAAAAAAAAAACAAATTAATGTTCTCACTCGTTAATTCTGCTAAGCAAGGATTCTGGAAATAATGTGGTGTTTTTTTTTTTTTTTTTTCCCTTCAGAATCTTCTAGCACTCACTGTAAAACAATTCTGTTGAAAGTAAAAAAAATCAGTTATTTAAAAAATGAGATAGAATTTCAATCCTAACTCCATGGGAATTGATTTATATGGAATTTATACACCAAACCAAAAAATCAACTTCCCATGTAAGTTTGCAACAAACAAAAAACTTCATCCTTCAGTTTGTTTCTTAGAACACTTCTAGACTTCTCTAAAATACGATCATACCTTTTAATGACATAATATAAAAAAAAAGAGTTCAATGAAACTGATTTTATGTCCCAATTATGGACAGGTAATACCAATGTGTAAAAAGAAGGATGCTAAGTTTTATATTCACAAATTCTATTCATTGCATTAAATTTTACTGTCAATCTTTCTCAAGGCAAAGTGCCATCTAATATTTAAAAATAGCTAAGTGAGGAGATGGAGGGTTGCACTGCAACAGGACTATTCATACACTTTTGATTGCAACAGTAAAACTAGAAAATCAACTTCATTTTTGAAGCAGCAAGTGCATCAGGTATCTAGATAAAGATATTTACAGGTATTCAAACACCTTTACAAAATGCAATACATAAGTGAGAGTCATGTACTTAGACAGGATTTAATCTAACGATAAACTCATACACTATGAAAACATTTTGCATAATATGAGGTTTATCCAGCATTTTTTTTACTATAATAAAATCAAATTAGTATCTAAAATTACAGGTTCTCTCCTCATTGTGAGTAATAACTTTGGTTTTGTAAGTTACATTACAACTTGCAGAAAAAGACTATCTACATTTTTCCTTTTGATATAAAAGTTTATTTCCAGAAGATACATTTAAGTCTCCATACACTCTCAGGAAAGGTGCTGTTGGCAGCTTCTGATTTTGCAGTTGGGAAAATTACTCTGATACTGTAACTGGTTTGCTCCTGGTCCCAATACAAGGGGATATTAGAATTAAAGAGTCAACCTGTATATTTCAATTCCTGGCTTTAAACCTAAGATCACACATCATCATAATGAGCATGACAGATGAGGAAGACAGAGGACTCGAATGTCTTGTACCGAAACTTTAAACAGCATTCTGAAGACAGTGGAAAGGTGCGTAGGGATGTTGTAAAAAAAGAAATCAAAAAAGAGATTACGAGCAGGATTCTTTTTGCTTTTTTACTGTTTCTGAAATGTCGATTGCTTTTCAAAAAAGACTAAGACCCACATAAGGCATAACTGTATCTAGGACGGTTTTATGCTTAGGTCTCTGTAGATTTTGTAGCGCAACTGTCCCACAAAAGTATAGAAACATTACAGTTATCGTATGTTTTAACTTTGCCCTTTGACCAAAAAGAGTACCCAACATGTCCAAAATGGGGTTTATTTTCTTACCATAAACATGGAATTTTTGCTAACCAACGTGTCAGCTATGAAATACAGCAAAGACAGCGTTCCTACCTGGATAAGGTGAGCAGGCACTGTGATGATGCAGGCTGACAAAGATTTTCTGAGGAGCCCTCGGAGAACATAGAGAAATTTTGTAAGACTATGAATATCTTCGGGAGTATCGCTGCTACAAATGTCATCACCCCACAACACTGAACCCAGACTCTGAATTCCTATCCGCAAAATATTCTTTTGTTTTTTCTATTAAGGAAAAAAAAAAAAAAAAGCCACTTGTTATTTTTTAAAGAGTAAGAAGAAAATGTCATGTGATTTATTTAAAAATACAATTTATAGAATTTATATCCATAATAATTACATAGTTTACATAATCATAGCTTAATCTCAGATGATCTTATAAAAATTACAAATGGAATGGCATTTTTTTTACTGACTGGATATCATGCTATGTCAGATAAGCAAGTACAAGTGTAAGAGACAGCATAGAAATACTGAAAATTACTAATTTGCATTCTTTAACCAGTTAAATGGAAGTATATTCTGACACAAAATCCAATAATACTATGATTTTTTCATGTCCTTTCTCTCCTCCATCACTGGTTTAAAAATCATGCAAAAGAATCTTTTCGCTCATCTCTAAATGGGTCCGCCGGAAGGGCCTCACAATAATCAAACACAACTTTTCCCTCTATTTTCAACTTTCCGCTGTGTTACTTTCATAATCTGAGTATTCTGACTGTTTGCTTCAGTTTCACTTTTTCTGCTACTTCTAAATGAACAAGGTTGGTGGCCTAGCTCACCAACGCATGGCCATGTCACCATTTCAGAAGACTCTGTAAGTATCATCTACATTCCCGTCAACTCCTCCCAACTACTGAAGGAAAGTTTTCCCACAGCTCTGGAGAAACAGTCTGATGGAGACATCAGCAGATTGTCTCTTAAGGACTACACCTTTCTGACAGTCCTTGACACGAGTGTTTCTGGATCTGCTTTAGTTAGGGCCAGGGTACTAGAATCTAAGCTGTTTTGACACGTAAAAGCCTAAACAGCCTCGTGAGCTACCTGCTGAAAGACTGCTTGCTGCCCTGCAGGACACTGGCAGAAGAGCATCCAACAGAGCCAGTGGCTGAGATAAAGTCCCTTTCCTGAAGGGGCAGATTATGAAGCCAGAGTTGTAATTTGTTTATGCAAAGTGAAATGTCAAGTCTCACGATCACAAATCTCATTTCTGCTCATTTGGTATGGCTTTTTCTGGGGATTTGAGAGAAGATTTTAGGTATATTTGCTATCATCAGCTGAGTTGTTGCTATCAACAATAAGCACCCTTGTTGAAAGACTTCCTGTACAAGGTGATCAAAAATACATTTCTAGAGTTCAGGGTTCATACTTAAAGGGCAGGTTTTTTTCATATCTATATTTTTATATAGATATAAAAATAGTAGTTTAGATAAATAAAAGCTTCCAGGTAATTTTCATTACAGCAAAATGCTTTGATAAACTGTAGAGATTCATTTCTACCAGCTGGAATGAACAGTAACTATCAAGCACAAAACATTGCACAGCTGCTCTGGAAATCCAGAGGAAAGGTTTTGACAAGACAAGAGGCTACTCTTATAAATACTTCCTTCTCCATATTGGACAGACAGAGCCTGAGTTGTGAAACACAGTTAGTACCACATGGCTCTGCACTTACCCAGATCTCATGGCTTACACAGCGAGCTGATCTGCCAATTCGCTTACAATCTTGGTGAAAGTGGTATATGTTTTAACTCTGGAGGACTCTTTAGGCTTGGGCTTTGCAGGCTTTTAGGCTTTACTTATGTAAAGTTAACTTTTTACACTACCATCTGAAGATCAGGATAATAGTGCAGGATAATACGACACAATTTGACTTCTTTGTATGATATGTGTTAGGCTCGGATGTTCAGAGTTTTAAAAAGAACAGGAAAAACAGAAGCTAGTTTAATATTCTTTAGTGACTTCTAATCAGAGCAGATTCACACATTTCTTGATGTGTGTTTAAGCAATAGCAAAAACTCAGGCATTTAAGAAAATTATTTTATCCAGAAATAAGCGATATTGATCATGCAAAGATAGTGTTCTGATATTTCAAAATTTCACAGCAAACATACATAAATGCTATATAAACTTTCATGAGAAAAATATTTTTTTCTCATGAAGAACACCCTTAAGAACAACATACAGACAAAGAAAAACCAGTTCTCTTATTGGATAAAGGATGACAGATGCTTGTTTTGTGATATTAAATCAGAAGACTTGTAAAAGATAAAGCTATTCAAACTCCAGATAATATCAGATATATTTATTTCAGCCAGTAACAGAATTTCTACTGGTGTAATTCTGTCAGGCCCACAAGGCCCTGACAAACAGCTTATTCCATAACTGAAATATAAGAAAAGCGTAAGTTTAATATTCTATAAAACAAGTCTGCAGTAAAGAGTAGGATAACATTGTTTTAGATACACCACTAGGTCTTTTATATTCACATTAGTTTGGAATTTTATTTTTTTAACCTTTTTCAGGCAATTTTTGTAACAACGTTTGCTTTGGCAGCAAGAATTCTGATTATGAAGAATTAAAAAAACCCAACCCCAAGCAAACAAAAAAACAATCGCCCCAACCTTATTACCCCGAAAGTCACCCAACTTGAGCTCCAAAGTATACCAAAGAAATGTTAAGGAAACATAGCTGCCAATGGAAATTCTGTTGTCAAACATGAAAACCCCAAAACATCCTGCAACAAACAAGTGCTACTCTGTATGACTTAAAACCACGCTCAATTCATAAAGGATTCATACTTAAAAGATCAGCAGCAAAGAGTTACTAGAGGGTTTCGGAAAGGATGTAAAATTGATGCTTGCGCTTCTAGGTTATAGGTCACCCAGACCCTAAATTCAGACCTAAAGAGATCTTGGCAAAGATGTTCCAGTCAGGGTGAACAAACAGGTAACTGCTTTGGTTAACTTTCCCCAACCTCAAACAGGAACTATTGCCTTAAGGCCGACAAAGTCACCCAGGACAGTCAAGAGATATTAATCTATGATGGCCAACAGCAGATGATCCTATAAAATGTTACATGTAATATATATAATGTTACATAACTATATAATGTTAACTAACCATACTAGGTCCTAGAGATGCCTGATGATTTTATCAGAAGTCCACTAAACCTCTAACATTAGTTTTCACTAATTTTCGCAATTGTGTCAAGCCTCTGCCACATTCTGCTCACTTTTCTCCAGACTGCTCTTCAATTACTGGTAAAAAGGAGTAGTAAGTCTAAGTATCATTGGCATATTGATATGAAAGTAGCCAAAAATATCTGAAAGCTTTACCAGTCAGGTTAAACTTTTTCTTTAAATCCAGATCCAACAAGCAACTTATTTCTAGACGTCCTTAGTCTAGAGATTTAGGAAGGATTATACTTCACAGTACAAAACTTGAAGCGTTAGTGGCATCAGCTTCTGCCATTCACAATCTGTGATTAATGGATACACTTAAAGTCAGTAAGTAAATCTCTTAAAAGTTCAATACCTCCCTGCTACAACTTGGCCCTTGCGGTCTTCTCCAAACTTCACGAAAGCCACTGCCAATAGGACCCACCCAAAGGGGAGAAGACTATTTGAGGCGAAAGGCATGCATGCACAAACTTCTCAAGCTTGTATTATTATTATTATATATAGGAAAGGACATGGGTCCAGAAGAATACAGGCTAGTCCTTACTCTACAGTCTTCCTGTCTGGCTACTTAAAAAGTAATCCTGAAGACTCAGCAAATAGAAGGGTATATGGAGCAGCAGACAGATGAATTTCTCACAGATCTGGAAGATAAAAAGATCCAAGGATGTTCTGGGCCATAACTACATTCAACTCTGGATATATTTTTAACAAGTGTGTACTATATACTGCTTCTAAATGTACAAAATTTGAGTGTACAAAGAAAGATGATGCATGGGGTAAAGAGGAAACTTAAAAGAAAGTAACAGAAATCGCTCTCAATGGATAAACTGGCCTGAAAAAGGTCTCTTCTTTCTAACTTCTAAAGCTTCACCTCAGAAACTTATATATGTCCTTTAGCAAACATGTACTTTTAAGTTCATCTCAGTTAAAGTTCTGGTTTTGCTTTATTGACACTAGTAAGACATTTTGAAACAATGAACAACAAGTACAGAAAATAACTATGCATGGTGTTTAATTTTTCCCTGCTTGCAAGCAAAAAATCCAAAAATATTGGCTCTGACCAATCTTCATTTTCTTTTACATGTAAAAGAAACCAGGAATATAAAAAGAACAATAAGAAACACCAGCCTAATCTCTTCGGGAGGTTGTTTGCTGGCTGAAGGCTGGCAGGGTGTTTGTTTCACTCAGTGCTGCTCTTTGCAGCTGGCAAGTTCTGGGGCTTCCACAGGACCTGTCACCAGGCGGGAGGTGCATCTCTGCGCAAGGTGCCGTACTGCAGGATGACATGCCTGCTGCCATGGCCACCACTGCGAGTGTCAGGGACCAACTGACTTCTCCAGACTGGCACCGCCACCAAAAGGAAGGCAAGCTCTCTGACAAATCACAGCAGAGACTAAACACTGAGCACAAATAACCTAAATTTATACACCAGTGTTCTGTGCAGGCAACATTTCTAAAACACAGAAACATCCATTCCAACACCATCTTCCCCGCAAAAAGGGTTTCTAAGATATTCAACCAGTAATAGTACACAGTCTTGCATTATATTCGTTGAGGCTCTCCAGCATCTATATTAATTAACGTCGACTGCAGTAACATTACCGTTGTACAACAAAAAAAAATAATTAAGTAGCAACGAAGCATCGATATATATAATTTATTATTTTATTTCCATCGACTCCAAAGGACTCACGTACTATTGAATATAACAAAGAAAAATAGATAGGGCACTGCTCAAATCAGAAAAGGGCTTTCAGCCTATGTTGTTACACTTAAAATGTTTTTGATTACCCACAGTATGATTTATGAAGAGTACAGAGATCTTTAGAAGTCTGGTAAGCTGTTTTAATTTGTAAGCTGAAATAGCATTCTTATTTCTTTACTTGTGTTTCAATGCTCTCTACATAAGGATGCACACCATTTAATTCATTAAAAAATTCACTCCAGTTAAAACAACACTGAAAAAATCTGGAAGTTTAAATGTTCAGTCTCAAGTGTGTCGAACACATTATTGCTAAAGCAATAGTTTGAAAAAATACTTAAGGGAAAATGTGTTTTGCTTAATTATATTATATTTGGCAATCCATTTATTACCTAATTGCACACACTATGCCTTTTACTAATGACTTACAGTTCTTTCTTGCATGGTCTGCATATCTGTAACAGGTAAAAACTCCAAATGCACATTAAAATATGAACCACGCTTTCTGTTTACTTTGCTTGTTTACTTCAGCAATGCTTAGAAACAGCTTGTTCCTTGTTACTTGTTCAAGACCTTCTTGTGCCACCTTTGAAATTTCATGAATCAACATTATTTACAGGATTATAGAGGAGCATGAGGGTCTTCAGTACCTGGGGATCAGAGCCATCAAAGCCTTCCTGGTAAATGATCCTCTGAAGGGACTGAAGCAGCCTTGTGTAAGCACTGTTCATATTACTGTTGGTAAGAAGAAATAGTTCAGTAACACATTTTAATACTCTCCTATATGTCTCTAACAGGTGTATTAAAAATAAATATAAGCAGGTGCAGCTTTCGGTCCAAAAGTGTCATGTAGAAAAAAGTGTCATAGAAGAAACAACCCAAATCTCTTTGAATAAAGTTGACATTGTAAGCAGTTGCGATTGCTTCATGTTAACTAGTTCAGTGCTCAGACATTTAGTGAAAGCTAAAATCTCTAGGGATTAAGAGAATTTAATTATGTCAGGCTCACTTAATCTAGAAGATTAATGATTTAATGTATCAACTTAGAGTTGAAATCATTACAGCACAGTACTAATCTTCTGTAACTGACAAAGACCTACCCAAATTCCAAGTATACCTGATGAACAGTTGACTTTCTGTTACTGAAAACTTTCATATATACAACTGCTATAACAATCCAAAACAGTAAAAAATGCAAGAGACAACATTTTCACAATTAAAAAGTTCATGCAGTTGATTTTATTTTTTTAGTATTTTTTTCGATACCGTCCCAGAGCAGAAGGCACATTCTGCTATGCTATGGTTCCACTTTGTATCTGTACACTACAGGTGTTATTACTGCTTTATTTGTATGACAGCAGTATTATGAGGTAGAATTTATCTTATGCATTATTTAGAAAACAGAAAATTAAAAAAACCCCACGAAGTGGTGGCTAAAAGTAGATTTAAGCAGACTTAAAACCAAATGAAAGTTCAGCAAATCATTTTGTCAAATTCTTAGAAGGTCCAGATACTGCACATCCAAAGCACTTCTTCAGATATCCATCCCAGCCATGCTCTCCAGTCCAACAACTAACACATATAAAGGACAGAAAGTCCTAATCTTTACTTTAAAAAAGCAAGCCAGTTGTTCACTTTTATGCTTTCTTAAATCCCATAAAGCATAAAGGCTTGTGTGTCTGGACTTGATGTAGATTCCTCACTCAGTTGAGTGTTTCAGCCCTTCTGTCTTTTCTAGTTTTGGCATGTCCTCCTAGTCCCACTAACTATCATCAAGCATTGTGGATTCAAACCTCCTTGTGCACTGCTTGGGAAATATGACAGGTTATTTTGAAAATTTTGCCTCTAAAAATATTCTTACTTGCTCCAATCACTTTATATGTCTAGTGTGATAAACAGCCCAGGTTGGAAGGGTCCTTGAAAGATCATGTGATCCAAACATTAATGAAGTTATTCCCATTACTTTAGTAAGAGCCAAAAATGTTATCCAAAGGTATTTTACTAATGAATACCTAGATAACCCAGATAAACTTGCTTTCATACTTTTGCACAGGAGAGGAGATAACTTCTCTGAGAAGCACTTAAGAGTTGCAAACATCTGTCTTTTACACCATTGCTTTAACTGAAGTTAAATAAAAGGGAGAGTTTCCAATTTAAATTCTGTTCATTTGTTTTCAGATTTAGTACCCTAGAAGGCTACTGGTTAAACTGATATACCTTAATAATTTAATACTCTCTACGAAATTCACAGCTGAAAATAACTGGCAATATATAATCTCAACATGACATTTAATGTGTAACGTCTGCCTTGCTGTACAAAAAAAGAGCATCTCAAACAGAAAAGAAAGAGTTAATTGTTGCTTATGACGTCAATTACTTTCCCAGCACTTAGCTGCAAAAGGAATGGCTGTCAATGTTACACCTATACTGTCTTGCAGGTGTCAGTTTGCGGTGGAGGAAAAGAGGGCTTTAGCCTCCAGGTAGCCAAAATGTCTCCTCTCGCCATGTCTTCCCATCATCACCACACACACGGGATCCTTGTTGCTTCCAGTGCTGCGATTTTGTCCCAGTTGTGCCAGAGCTAGAGGGAATCTGCAGCACTTGACAATAACCAGAAGCATTCCTGTATCCTTTTGGATATTCCTTTATCCCTTTGGAAAAGATAGAAACTGCTGCTCAGCAACATTAGGAAGACGTTTGCAACCACCTCGTAGCCACAGCCAGGAACACAATATGTATAAGACAAAGATGACTGTGGTCTTTGTCACCACAAACTAGCATTTTCAAGTTTGTGTATTAATCACTCATTTTGCTTATACTACCATGCTATCTATAGGGATGCCAGAGAACATACTGCAGTCACAATACTTGCCAATTCCTGATTTGTTACTAACTTGTAAAAGTTAGTGGATAAAAAGAATAAAATAGCTAAAACATTAGCAGAATTAAAAGGTCCCAAAATTATAACAAACAAATAAGAGATTTTCAATTAATCCATCAGAAAAAGATTTGCAGCAAAGAAAGAATTAAAGAAAATAATGTAATGTGCATTATTTTTTTAAAAAAAATGAAAAATAGGTGCTGCTCTTCTTGCTAAAACATTAACAGTTTACTTGAATTTGAACCATGCTATGTAAATAAGGACTTGAAAAATATTGTTAAACATTATTCATAAAACCAAGTTGCATTACCCTTCTGGCAATGTTTGTCATAATATTTAAGGAAGGAAATAAGATATTTCTTATTTTCTAATTTCTAGCCTTTTTTTGGCTTTGTTACTAAACACCATTTAATTCTGATAATGAGTTTAAACAATTCCTTCTTTACTCTTTTTTTTTTGTTTAGCAATTTAGTAATGGATAAAGCAGGAGCTGGCAAGAAGGTATCCCGGTTACAACAGAGCCTCTGACTTTTCTGTTGATAGTTTCTAAGCAGTTAACAAAGGTTAGGTTATCAAGGGTATGACAAATAGCCTTATTATGTACAAGGAGACCCCATTAGGCAAGCCAGTTAACCTGTTTTATCTAAATCTATCAGTAAATCTAGACTCTAGATAAATTTATTCTTTTTCAAAAGCACATACATTCTTAGGGTAAAACGAGTACTGAAAAACCACAGACTAATTATTTTAGTTCCCTTGATTATCAAACTTTCTCTTTTGGTAACTGCAACTGCACAACAAGGATGGAAGTAGAGGGGTATTAAGTAAGCATTTTCTGTGATGCACAGAGTTATCACAGAGGATGTATCTGCCTTCCTGTTAAGTACCAGCTTTAGCTATGCAACAAAACGGACACCAGAATATCCTAGCAACAACAACTGCAGAAGAGTTGCCGTCAGCAGCACAACCCTGCTAACCTGTCCTAGCAGGATATAACTGCCCTTCCCTAACAGAAAAAAAAATGAGATAAGAAAGGGAAGTTTTATGCCTTCTTTTCACACAGAACACCCAGTCACATTTACTACTTCCTTTAGGAGAACAACGTTCCCAATTTGTTTTCGATTAATGTTTATCATGGGGCAATGGAGGACAGTGAAACCTAAGGCCTCCAAAGCTAGTCACCCTCTAACCGAAAGACAAAGGGAAAAGTAAGGCTGGTCAACAAGGTAAATTCTAGGTGCACCTAACAAGTTGCAGATCAAGTACATTCTTTGAGGAACATCAATAACATACAGAAGTAGAAGGTCTCTATCAGGTAAACAGAAAAAAAATCCACCCAAGGACAACACTTAGGGAATGCCTCGCTCGCATCAGGACATAGGATAATTTAATAAAAAGAAATGCAATTAAAAGAATACACTGAACTTCTAAAATCTTTCTTTACAAGTACTAGCTTGTCATTGCAGAACATGTAGCTTATGACCTCAAAGCAGAATGTGTATGTTGGGTTAGGTACGCTTTCCATGATGACTACATAATTTAAGGAGCCTCTTCAATGGCTGTAGTTCCAGGACTACAACAATTTATTTCAGCCTGGACTTAAACCATGCTGTGCTCTGCTACATTACAAATATTTAAAATGGATCATGCTAGCTAAAATAACGTGGAAACATTTTAAGAAGAGGGAAAATTTTTTCTTTCTCTCCCGCCCCCCCCCCCCCCCGCTAATTCCTGATTTTTTGTGACTTCTGTTACTATAAAGAGGTATCATCCATCAGCAACAATACTATTTACTTATGTGAAATTATATACTAGGCAAAACTATCAGTTTCCACTTCCTCCTCAACCTCTTTTGTTAGTGACAAAAGCAAAACATTCTCAGATTTTACACAAAACAACAGACAGCACTGATTTTGGTATTTTGGTCTTCACTCCTACATGATTTAAGAGAAAATTTCATTCATGTCTTTACTGATACATATTTTGCAAAGTATATCCTTTAGAAAGTTATGAAATCTTTTGCAAACATCCCATAATACATAGTCTATTAATGTAAATTATTTCAATAATGAACTATACCCTTTCTTAAAAAAGCCTCCTTATTTTTGCAGGATTTGTCAGCTTTCAGTGTTAACACGTTTTCTGTCAATCTTTTGATAAATTGAAAAAAAATTATAATTTTAGAGATTTTCTGAATTTCACGTAATTTTTGTAACATTTTTTTAGTTCCTTCCAGGCTATCAGTATTTTTTCTGAGGTACTATTAGCCTAACAGATTACCAAAATTTTGCAATGCTATACAGGTAATTAGCGTTATGCAACCAGGTGGGTTTTTTGGCTACGCATCTAAGACCATAGTCTGAGAACCTTATGCTTAAGAAATTATACCCTCTAAGTGGAGACATGCTAACTAGCCATGTCCGAGCTCCTAGTTCACGCTAACACAGAGTAAAAGAGGTTACCTCAAGCTCTCAGCAGGACCTTCAGGCAATCAAAGATGAGGTCTAATACAAATTGTTGACTTTTATTTGAAGGGTTAACTCTGACTATCACAATTACTTTCTTGCAAATCATTGTCTAGTTAATCAAAAGAACAAGAATTTTTACTGTTCTATGATATATTAAAGTTAGCTGTAGAAGCCAGAAGCATTGGATTGATTTTCCAAACAGTAATGCCAACAAAATAATATCCTTTCCCTCTCCCTTTGATAAACTTTCTTTAATGAAATCATCCTGACAGCACTGTGAGCTTGTTTTCGTTCCTTGAGAAAGGAATGCTTCCTTCAGACTTTCATCACAATATTTGTAAAAAAAGCCAGTACAAGCCTGTTGGGTTTCTATAAAAGCATAAACGTTTTGAGAGCAGTGAAATAATTGGTAACATTCATACTTAGTATTGGATTTAATACACTGTGACTAATGTGTATTAAAGAATCACAGAAGATAGGGATAAAAAGGACCTCAAGAGGTCAGGTAGTCTATCTTCTTGCCCCCAGGCAAGATGAACTACATCTAAACCATCTTTGACAGATATTTACCTAACTTGTCCTTAGAAATTTTCAATGATGGAGATTCTACAGTACTCCCAACCTGAGTCTGCAAGGCAGCTTCCTCTCATGCTAATCATTAGAAAAATATCTCCTTATTTCCAACCTGTACTTCCACCACTACAGTTTACTGTAGCCCATTACTGCTTGTCCTGCTTTCAGCAGACAACAGAGTTACTACAGAGCTACGTCAGATTTTAACATGCTTCAAGACTCTGCTTAATTTGTCTAACAAATTCCAATCTTCCGTCACGGGCCAAACATCCCAGTTCCAGACGCATACCCACCTTCACAACCTTCTCTAACTGATCTAGAGTTTTCTTGAAGGATGCTATAAAAAACTGGACAGCTCTGTTATGGCTGAGCGGAACAGAAGTACTTTGCATGTCTTCCACATTAAATTCCAGTTTATCACCTCCATGCTTTTTAAATTATGCTTTTCAGTACCATTAATTATATTATATATTAGATTATGTTATTTTTTTCTGGTATTTTTCTGAGCATTGATGTTACCCCACAGATGTCTTCATCTTCTCCTCTCCTTAAGGACAGGCATTGCTTTGGCCTTTTTGACTTTGTGGAACTTTGAAATTTTACCAATGAAATTCATTAGTTCCCAGCTTGAAAAAAAATGATGTCTTTTCTAACCTGGTCTTTCCTTATGTAAACTGAGTGGCCCAATTTGCTGATATTAACTGTGCTAGGTGCACATCAACTTGGGTATTGGAGTATGGGAGAAGCAGCTTTTCTCCACTTCCATCATTTTTTAAGAACTCCAGTTATAAAACAATGATGAACAGAAGCTGAAATTCTAATTCAGTTTATTTTTAAAATGCGTGTCAAAATTGAATAACTGTAATTATGGGAAGCTTAAATCTTCCATTACTCTACGGAGAAACAAGCTTTATTTCAGAGGCTGTAACATCAAAAAATTCTTCTTCCCACCTTGTCTTAACCTTGACCTAGTGCAACCTTTTTAATACCAGGAATCCACAACCAGTGCTCTTTGTTGTCAGGAAAGTCAATAATCAAAGTCAGAAGACAAATGATCTACCGTAAATGAAGAAAGAAACGTACACATCTCTTCACAGTTCCCACAGATTTCCTGATGTGTTCTTTACTCCTCCCTGTCCCTTATCACATGGCATTGTGGTCTAAGAAAATGATGCTTAGAATAGTGGCTGTTACCTTGGTACCTGCCTTTACTATCAATAACACAATTCTTTCATTTCCTCAGGAGAGTCTTCTTGAAAGAGACCCATGTTATTGGTGCAGGAAGAAAGAAGGAGATAAGCCTTCCAAAATCCATCTTTATTTGATCATGTTCCTCACCTCATCACTCTGTGCTCTACCAATTTGCCAAGCAAATGAACTAAATTTAATCTTTCCATTAGATTAAAACTAAAAATGAGAATAGAATTCATATGGTAAGAACGATGAACTTTCGTCAGGACAGCACACAAGGAAAGTATCAGTTAAGCTTATAAAATCAAATGCATAAAAGTTAAAGTCCATTTCCTATATTATACATATGAGTTAATTTGATTTTAATGATTTTAATGTAAAATGTACAAAACTTGACAGCCATGTAGTTAGTGGAATTAAGCCCAGAGTTATGAGACATTCTAGTTAGCTACAGAAAAGAGAGAAAGGGACTTAAATTGCACAACAACAATATAAGCACTTGCAATCTATCTGTCAGATACTCTTGAGTCTATCTTCTACGGCCCTGCCACTAAAAAAAATATAATAATTATACATAATATATAAATAAAGTTGGTTCAAATTACTATAGAAAGCATAAAATACAAGCTCTCTGCTTTGTCCTGAAAGTGGGTTTTGTTTTTTTTTTTTTTTACAATCTGGCAAGAATTTACTTTATAAACCAATGAAATTTGATCGCATAACGCAGAAAGAAATTACAAAGATACTTGGCTTTTGCTTTTCTACAGCTCTAAGAAAGGTGCTTCATATTGTGCTTTTTTCATAAATCTCAGGTTTTATATCTGAGTATACTGTCATGAAAATCAATCACAATAAAGCGTACTGTACTACTGCTTCCAGGAGTTGGCCCTATACACGGGGATCTATAAAAGTAGGTATTATATAAATGGAGTGACTGGGCTGAACAAAGAGATTGCTAGCCTGTATTTGATGTTTGACTTGACTTGAAATGTCTCCAAGAAAGATACAGTGGACATGTGTGCTACAGGCTAATATGAGTCTTTGCTACTGTCACTCATTTTCTCTTGGTCTTCCTTAATTCATTACTGACAGACATAAACTATAATAAGTTATTCATTCAGAGAAGAGTTTATGATTTTTCTCTGGAATTGGGGGGGTTGTGTAAGACATAATTAGTGATTGTAATTCTATTCACAGTATTTTGTATTTTCCTTAGGTGAAGCTGTAGGATGTAAGAAGTAGAAGTCACATAATAAACTAATCTGATATAGCATTCTAAGCTATGTAGGTCAAGGATGGCCTGTCTTCTTAGCCCTTAAAACTGTATCTTCCTAAGACTGATAGCCACCTGACACACACATCTCCGAACGCTGATGGGGCATGGTGCTCAGGGAGTAGTTCACAGACAGACAGCAAGAGTTTTCCCCAGTCCCCACACTCAGCTGTCAGTAGGGCTGGACTGAACATGCAGCTGTGTCCTAGGCTGTCCTAGTAATGTCTGCCTTAATTGTCCCTGCCAACCTGCTTACTCCCACAGCTGAGGAGTCACTATACAGAGCTGTCTCTGTGCCACAGCAGCTTTGCTGCCACTCATGGCATGCAGCACTGACATGAGAACCACAGCTCAACTGCTTGTGAGCCATGTGTGGCTACAAGATTTTTCACAGCAAGTGTAGATGCAAAAATATCCTTTACTACTAATATACAGGCAAAATTTGAACACACAATAGAAGTAGGTGATATTAGAACTTACCATGTTTTCACGTTAGGCTGTAAAGACAATTCTTCAGGAAGGTAAAAACTGTGCCATTTTAGGGACTGAAGAAGTTCTGGAGACATTGTTTTAGAAACATCATAATAATGGCCAAACTTTGTAGATGTTGTTGGGCTGGCCTGTGGAAACAACAATACTGATTACAATAACCTATTAAATTATTATCTATCAAAAAAAATTAACTAGCAATACACTTGAAAGAAACTTCTGGTTTTTTTCCCTTTCAGCTTAAGTATAAGCTTCAAGTAGAACAACATTATAATATTTACTACTAAGTTTTGGTTCCCCTGATGACATTCTATAATGTGAATTTTTCACATAGAATTCAACCCTTAACTGTTCCAAGTTGCATCACCAAAGTGCAGTCAGATACTTAAAAGAATGTATTTTTGCACATGTTCTAGACAAATGAACACAAATTTCAAAAGGCCAGATATATGAAACATGCAGACCATAACACGTTCCAACTATCTGATTTTTCAATATCTGGGAATTATATGGCGCTACAGAAACATTTTCAGTTGACTTTGAAAATGTTTCACTTTATTTGTGATCAGTAAGAAAAAATACCATTACCTCTTCATACATCTGATTTTAACAGAAAATTGTAATAAAGACAAAATATTTAAAAGCTATTTTTAATTTCTTGAATTTTGAATAAACAGCAGGCTGAACTTTACTCAGACATCACACACAATAACCATAGATTACTATTTTGAAGATACAATCAGCTCTTGATTTCGGATACATAAAACATCACAAAACCCCCAAATCTAATATACACCATAGCAGGAAGTACACATTTTGAATATATTATGGTAGTGAATAAACAGAGGAAATGAATGCATATTTTTGTTCCACATTAATGGAGCTCAGCACGCAACCTGCAACATTATTTGAATTACACATGTAAAGTCAAAACCCCCTAGATTGTTATAATATGCAGTATTCAAGTATGTAGTAGCTGTCTGCCACAGGATTTCAACAGCTTTTGCTCTTCATATAACAATCCATTTTCTTCATCTTTTCTGTCCTTCCCACTAAAAAAAAAAAGTTATCCTGGAAAGAACAGCCACACAGAGTAAACCTCAGAGACAAGTTAGTCTCTTCCAGGGAAGGAGAACAAGTGGCACAAATGTAAACCACTATATAGTATTTTGTCACGTACACGCTGTAAAGGAGTAATAGATTACCAAAGCAATATTAAAATTGATCTTTAGGTTATGGCGCAAACACCACTATGCTCCTGATCAGGTTCTCTCTCATCACCTGTTCTAACTCTTCTGAGGAAAAAGAAAGGTCATTTAGAATAACCGAACAAGTTTCGTAATCAATCAAACCCACGGTATTTCTAACTGGTAAGACACCTGGTCCAAGAAAGGCATTGGATCCCAGACTTTTAACAGGAGCTTTGTAGGTGAAAAGGAAGATCACCTATTAGTTTATTTTGAGGACAACTCCCCTAAGCCTGGACTGCATCCAAAGTGTGCATTGTACAATGCAGGACTGCGTGAAAACATTGTAAAGTCTTTTTCTATCTCCCCACTCCAAGACTTACTGCTAAGCTGAATCCCCCGCCAGAGCCAAGAGCCACCTCACATATTAAATGATAAAGTATGAAAATAAAATTAAATACCTCAGTGGTTATGAAAGAGAATGGGTGAGACAGAAGAGGTAAGAGCTGAAAGTAAAGAGAGATGTTGAAGACATGTTCACACTGCAGAACAGAATGCCTTTGAGAGGTTCTTCTGAAGAGAGGTTTGTATTGATAGGTAAAATGAAATGCCATTTTCTTTGTACTTAAAAACATGGAATTACTTTCGAAAAGTTCCAGACATACCCCCAATAATTTCAAAAGTTTCTCAGTAGTTTCTGTAGCAACTTAAGAACATCCTATAAAAGGATTTTTCTTTTAATCAGGCCAATATATACCTTTTATCCGCTATCTGAAAGTTGAGCAGGGTTGTGCGTGTATGCAATGAAAATTCTTTGGAACAACTTCTGCTCCAATTTCAACATCTGCTATTCTTGCTATACACAGGAATGATGATAGGTGTATTGAATTATTACAATAACGGGATCCCAATAATTTTTTTGTGCGTTGCGCAACAAATTATTTAGTTTGAACACCAATTATTACAGGAGCCTCGTGGTTTTCATAAACCTTGGTCTTGCTAATAAAGTACGTACTGTAACAGTAAAAAGAAATACAGACAAGGCCATGTATTTACAGTTAGCTTTCTGAAATAAATCACGCTATGCATTTCTGCAATTTTATTTCATGTTTCATCTTACCAAAAATATATTAAACTGTTAAGATTTGATTAGAATTATTTGATTTAGAGTAAATATTTGGAATTATTTGACTAATGGATGCTAGGCCTGGTCAGTTATCAGAGATTATCAATAGTAACAATAATACAGTATCTTTCCTACAAAACCAATAAGAAAATCAAACTAACCCCGAACTTTTCATTAAAACAAATAATTAGGTTTTGATTTTAAAAACACACAAAATTGCTCACATATATCTAGTCCTAAAAGGCAGATCAGTTTTACCCATAAAAAGATAGAACACATTCCCTAAGTTAATGTTCCAATTTATTTATCAGCACCTGATTTTTAAAGAAGGAGGTCCAAGAAAACAAAACAACCTATCAAAATCTAAATATTTTCAGTGTAAAATGTAACTTTATTTAAAACGAGGATTCTGAAAGCAATTTAAACAGAGGCTGTTCTTTGGCCTATAATCTATTCTTTATCCGGATTACAGATCAGAATGTTTTTACTGCAATCTCTGCCAGAGCTCATCTTTTTATTGTGTACTTCCAAGCCCCCTTAATGTTTTAGAAAGGCCTTGACTAACTGAACTTTGATCTGATGTCTTCATTGAGAAAAGCTCCAGGTTGCCCATTTCAGATGCAAATCCTTACTGAGGCCCAATAGAGTTTAGTAAAGACAGCAAAAAAGAAGAAACAACAAGTTTCCAGGATCCTCTTTGAGAATCCTGAGGCACATTGGTGTCCTTAATCCACCCTGCTGCATGGATTAAGGTAGGTGATAACCTCTCTTGATTCAAAAGAATAAGCACAGTGCCTACAAACTGGGTGGAGACTAGGATTTGGCTATAATAAAACACCACGCAATAAAAGCTCGGTCTATGTCAGAAGCCTATGAATAGGCCTCAATGTACTGCATTCCCAGGCTTAGCGGGGAAGCTTGCAAAAAGCCTACCTGAATCAAGTAAGCATGAATAATCTGCCTTAGCAGAATGACCATGGAGAGTGCGAAGCAGAGACTTTCCATTCCTCTTAAGTTTGATCTGATAAATTTATTAGTGGATTGGAGGCTCAAGCCTGTTCTTTCCTGGATTCCTATTTTGCAGAAGGAGAAATACACTAAATTGTCAGTGAGCAGAGCGTGCTTTTATGCTACCGTCTGCTGTTAATGTTTCTAATTGCAATACTAATGTGCTAGAAATCTCAGATTTAGGATGAATCAAGGCAGAAAATTGATTTCATGCTGTGACAGTTTATATATTGCCCCAAGAACATAAGCAGTTCATTCAAAAAAAAAAAAAAAGAAAAAAGAAAAACCCCACACTGTCTTGCATTGCAAACTCGGCTATCCATATAGTCAAAAGTTTAAATGAAATTAAGCTCTGATACAGATGAAAGTAACAAACTGGCAAAGGCACATCAAGCACAACACAACCTGTTACTCTAACAGATTTCTTATAAATCTGTCTTTTTCTGATATATAAGGTATATGGAATATGTAAAGAGAAACTGTGATAGTTATGAAGAGTACTAATATAAATATCAAGCATAAGAACAAAAATGAGTTACCTAGCTAGTCTAGATAAGGTCTAATAAATGCAAAGGGGATACCTGAACTATTACTGAAAATCTCCTATTAGAAATAAAAACTAAATTAAGGATCAAAAATACCAGAAAGACAGGTTTTATTCAGCATTCTTACTTCATGTAAAACCAGATATTGTATGGAAAAGTTTTCTGCTAACATATTTAGAGCTCTAGTTAAAAGTAAAGCTGTTTTCTCTCTTTCCTACTTGAAACAATTTGACAGTAGCTTTTGAGAATGTATTAGTTTATTAGTTCAATCATTTTGGAAAATATGCCTTCAAATTTTATTCAACATAATCTTTTTACGCCAAAAGAGAATTTAAAGAATAAATCACAACCAAAGTTGTTAATTAAATGATAGTACGAAGTGTATTAAACATCCAGGGTGCTGCAAGGCAACATCAGGTTTTTCCTCAATGAATTATATTCACCAATCAAATTAATTTAGCACAGCACCAAAATTTTATAACTGCATTAAAAAAACTTGAAAGATATCAATTTAAAAACTATTTTTCACTAATTAGAATATCCTGAGGAATTTTAGGTATAGAAAGCTTAGACTTTTATTAGCAAGTTGTAATTTTAAAAATAACTTTAACATACACATTAAAAATATTGTACCTCAAACTATTCAGATTTATCAGCATCCATTTGGAAAGCGACAATGATAACAAGAGAAATAACCCCCAAAAGAAGGACTATTTTATTCTGTCTTGCATAATTAAATTTCGATAATTGAGGACAAGTACGTTACATGTTATAGAGAAATATATTAGTGGAAGAAGTGATTACTTCTATGGAGTTACAGAAGACGAGTGCACACCTAACTGGAATATTTATATGTTTTGCTATTTTGTTAGAACATCAGAACACTTTATAACAACATGCAATTGTTTCCATATCAATATATGAGGAATTCTGCTAGATTTTAAACCAGACAAATTATTTTGGGGATGGTTCAGAGTGGCACAGCAAGCTCCACAATAATAAAATTGATGAGATTATATGATTACCCTGGAGGCTGTTTGATTTGGCATGTCACCATATATAAGTCTTTTCTGACACAACTATATAGCCATGTCTGTGCAATTTCACAGAAAACCAAACATGCCAAGCCCTGTAAGATCATTTTGTCACATTCCAATTATGTTTTTTAAGAATACGACTGAACTTACTCGGCAGTTATGACTACATCTAAACCAGAAATTATAAATGTAGGCTAAAATGTATAGACAAAACAAGTCTCTTTGTTCTGGATAGTCAAAAATGCTGTAATTTCATTAAAGGCTGATTGTGCCACTGGATTAAATAAGAAAGTCACCAGCCACAGGAGATATGTTATTCACAAAACACTAACAACTGTAAACTCAGAAAGACTGACCACTGGGCTTGTTTCTTATATTCTCCCTGCACAGTGATTAGTTTCTAGTGACAGTGAAGCTGATACAATCTCAAGTGCTTACTTTAGTTGTTATGCACATGGATAAGCAGGTCAACAGCTCACTAAGACACAGCACTTTCACTACAGAGATCTAGTAAGTACTGTTGATTAAACCGACTTAAGTAATTGGTGTACAACTAAATTTGGGGAAAGTTTCTAAGTGACCAAATTATTCAAACTTTCACAAAAAGCTGCCGCAATTTAATAATACACATTGAAAAATCTCATGGAACATTAATGTTTGGGGTTTTTTTACTTTTAACTAAGATTGTCTGTATTGAGTTTTACAGTTCCTGCAAACTCTCAAATTCCCTTTCTCTCTGTACCTCTAGTAATGAAAAAAATACAGTGGTGTATGGTAATTTATTCTCAGGAGGCAATCCTGTAACACTGTCCATTAGCAGTTCTGTTGTCTAGATTCTACTGAAAAGCATTCACTCTGCAAATTCATTTCGTCTGCAAGAGGGAAAAAAGTATGAAATACTGATTACCTCCATTTTTGGTAAATTTTGGTAGCGCCAGGCTATTTTCATAGAATCCTGAAAATCTTCAGACTTAACAGCTGTCACTTCTTCTCCCAATTCATTTCTGTAGGCATCATCAAGCAAAGGGGCTGGAAGTTCCTACAGGTGGAGTGTGAAAGAACATCAGCTATCTACAACAGGAATGGCAGTTCAGATTTTTATCCCCCCCCGCCCAAAAGTTAGCTAATACAGTTAATATAATGAACAGCTGTAAAATCTGTAACAAGACTTGATTAAAATAACTGTCCTGAAAGACTGGCTCCTACTAATACTGAGCATAAAACCCCCCATGTAATTATTATGGGAAAAATGAATTATACAAATGTAAGAGAATGGAAATATCCCATTGTATACTCTACACAAACATCACATCTTGAACAGCATCCATATTCCTTTTTTTTTTAAACTTTCATTAAAGGTTGATCTTCTAAACTATTCTGTTCCTGAGAATAGGTAAGTTCCCTGTGTAGTGAATTTAAGCCTATTTTATAAGATCACCTCTCTTTGTTAGCTTCTGTAAGTCTTTCAAAAGTATTCATCAGACCACAATAGCCTACAGACACAGGCTGAAGACAACTGTAACAGCATGGTTTGAATTTTCTCTTCTGCTAACCATTAGTCATGATAGCTACTAAGGACGGATACCTCATGAACACAAACAAGGGAGTAAAAGTAAGGGGTGAATATTTAATCCCGGAATCTTTATAAGATTCTAATGCAAACATTTCCGGCTTTTTTTTTTAGAAAAAGCATTGCACATAGGTGAATTTATTTGTTCTATGAGGACAGAAACGCAGCTTTGACTTAGACCTAAATTAGGAGCAATGTTTTGTTACAAACTTTCTGCTTTCTACCTTTGTTGCATGGCTGAAAAAGTAAACAGCACTGGGTGGATATCAAGCACAGCATTCAGAAGTTATGCACTGGGCTTCTACACCTGCTAGAGGGATGAAGTGCAACCAGGTTTTCTGACCCAACTTTATCACCTATCCACGTAAACTGACTTATCTGCTTAAAATAGATCAAGACTCGTTTGAAAACTAAGTTTTAATTAAGCAAAGACTCTTGAGAGAGAACTAAGATGTGGTCTCAAGTGTTAAAAATACATAGAGCTAGCCAGTAGCTCTGTTAAAATGTATTAGGTGTGAAAACATAAAAAACAAATTTGAAATCTTTAGAAGAAATCTCGATCGAAGTATGGGATATACATGAAATACTGAACATAGGCTGAGCTGATACTGACCATAAACACCTAAATGACATTCACAGCTTTATGTAGGCAGACACGGTACAAATGGACACGCACAGGCAGAAGACAATTAAAGTTTAAATGAATCCATTTTGGGGTTAGTATTACGCTAATTCACTATTAAAGAATACAGAAGAGAAAACCTGTATATAGTTCAAGACGTACTCTTATGAACAATGTGTTATTTTTGTTTCTCTAGCGTAAATTAACATACCTACAATTATTGACAAAACTGAGAACAAATGTTTCTAATTTCAGGACAGTTGTTTCTGTCTTTCACTGGCTGGTCAGCACACCCTCTGAGACAAAAGGTAACAAGCTATCAAAACTTTTATGTGGTTTCTTCAATAAAGTTGCAGAAATAGAACAACTGTACCTACGTGTTTCAGCAGCTAAGCTGAAGATGCAAGACACACCTTTGAGCAAATTATTTTATTTACTTTCTTTTTGCAAATGAACTGCAAAAGCCTGGTAAAGTCTCTTCATGAGAATGGTTATGTACAGAGTTAAATGTTCATATTTCTTACAGGTTGTTTAAAAGATACACTTGTATACAATAAACTCTTGTTACTGCGGCTGTAAACATTAAACTTTATGGGTAGGAAAGCTACATGAACATTATAATTTTAAGTTAGTATTTACGGCTTTCATTAAATTTACAGATTTATAAAAATGTTTCAGTAAAAAAAGAAATCTACTTTTGTCAAAGTTTCCTTATATCTACCCAGAAAGAAAGCAGGGAAGCTTTCAAATGAAAGACAAAGATTTTTGACAGATAAGAGAAAATGAAAACAGAACATTGTACTGAAAGGTTCTGAGAAACTATTAACACAAACATGAGCTGACAAGTACACCAATGCATTTCACATATATGCAGATACAAGTTATTTGCATTTACTTCTAAAAGCATTATATAAAGGATTTTTCTAAAAAAAGATGTTATTTTGAATTCCTACTTTTGTAACTCAGATATCCATAATAAAGAGTTAATTAATCTTATTTTCCAATTAAGGTGCTATTTCGAAAACAAATTACTGAACAGTTAAACTACTATGCACATTTAATTTCTAATACAGTTATTCATAGATTTGAGCCGGCTAAGCTGAAAAGGTCTTTCTTTTTCAGTGAAGAGCTGCTGACATGCTATCATCTCAAAATATTGCTCAATTATACTAATCAAAAAAATAAATAAAGTCAACCTTCATTTAAAAAGTGGGTTCTGTAGAGGAATAACTCTTCAGGCCAAACCAACATGTCCAGATACCTCTTCCTTTCGTTCACCGAGATCATCTGGCTCTCAGGTACTATCTGCAACTTTTATAGTGGTGAGTAACCTCTGTTTTTCAGCCACAGTTTGGAAAAGAAGGTGAAATCCTGCCTAAGCATTTCCTCAAACTACCTGAGCTTGCCCCTGTTTCAGATCCCACCACTGATACAACAAGCTGCTACCTCATCCTGCTGTAGGGCAGGATCACATATCCGCAAACCAAAATCCAGGAAATGGCGTATTTTACCATTCACCTGTACTGGAAGTAAAGAGCAAAACAGCACCAATATTTTCTTAAAGCTCTTTAATATTTTTCTCCTCTAGAATCACTGCAAATGCCTGTTACTTGTACTACTGGCTCATTGTTTCAAAACCCGCCTGGACGCGTTCCTGTGTGACCTGCTCTAGGTGGCCCTGCTCTGGCAGGGGGTTGGACTAGACGATCTTTCGAGGTCCCTTCCAACCCCTAAACATTCTGCTATTCTGTGATTGTTATATAATAATTGGCAAAGACAAATTTGAGACAGGGACATTTAGCTATACACATTTGCCTTTACACAATCACACAGAAGGTACATTTTACACAGAGACTGTATTTTATGCTAAAATAGAACAGAGGTCAAGACAATAAGGGGTGAGAAGTTCTCCAAGCATTACTGATCAAGTCCAAGCTACTTCGATCCTCTCATGTAACACTGAAAAAAGTTCCCGCATTGCAGTCAAACACAGAACAAAACCTTCTTACATGGCACTATATGGAACGGAGTCATGACAAATACCAGCTGATGACACCTGAGAAGTTCAGTCCAAAATAATCGCCAGACACACTATCAGTGCAACACATTTAGGCACTGTGGAACGCCTTAACTGTTGCTAAGAACGAAGCAGATTAAGAGATCAAGAAAACATAGTTTCACCCGAAGCCGATAAAGATTTTGGCTGCCAGAGATGAAAACCTGTCTGAGTACCCATCTGAAACAGCCTTTTTTTGCCAATATAGTTTACTTTTAACTTCTGACCTAATAAAGAGATTTTATTCTGACATAATAAAAACTTCTAACAGTATAAAAGGATTGTTTAAACATGACTAAATTCACAGAAAGCGACATGAGAAAACCCATGACTCAGTATCATGGCAGTTAGCATATGCATCAGCTTAGGTCTGCTTTAGGCTGCCTTTTCCCTTGTTGCCCCACAGAAGGAACCAGGACCACTTAGAAGAACTCTCTCATACAAAAGCAAATCTTATTTCCTCAGTTGCTTTTCCAAACTACATTTGCCTAATAACTATCACGCTTAGCTGAAGAACGTTTCTTAGATGCACCACATCCTTGTCCCTATGCAAGAAACATGTTCACACGATGCACTGTGACTTCAGACATTTCTGGGGCTACTAGGTCTCACAGCCATATAATTTTCTATCCCAACAAACACTCTGCTCTAAAGCATGTGGTGGTGGTGAACTTTATGGCCTCTTAGTAGGCTTCGTACATAATTCAGCTGCAATCTGGAAAAGGTAGTCTGCCTTTGGAGCTGACTGGTATTTTGAAGATCAATTGCTTGAGCTCCACATTAACTCGGTTAAATACATTCCAAGATTAGGTACTTAAGCACTAACAGGAAAAAACATTCCAATCCTATTTATGGTCTGAGTATACCTGTAATCTGAACACATTTTAGATAAAGATTAATGAACATTAATAAAGATTGTTTATCTCCAGATTTGTATTATAACTCTATCACTTTTATCCCAGCTTCTGTTCACCCTTGTTTCCCTCCCATTTACACTAAACTGCAGGAAAGAGAGGCAGACGATGCAGTTGCTGTTTGAAGGTACTAGAAGCCAACATACATGCCTTCATTAGCCTGGTGAAAGACTAAACAGAATACCTAGGTGATTGCTAATGCGCTTTATGGGTAATATTGAAAATACCGAAATTGAAAAGATCCAAACATTTGTTTTTATCTTCATAGCCTCTTTTCATCTTCATGATAACTAGAACTGGAATAAAAGCCTTTCCCCTCTTCTGACACTGCAAATTAAATGCTATTCTTTGTTTCAAGGAAATAGCTTTTTCCAAACCTGCCCGAGTGACACAGAGCACCTAAGTGAGAAAATGTCTCCAGTTGTCACAACACAGGTATATTCTCAAAGATAAAGGCTGGCCGGTTGGATGCATACTTCACAACTTTTCAGTGTCATCAAAGGTTTCATGGCTGTCCAAGAACTACAAAGGATTCCTCAGTTCTCAGATTGTTCTTAAAAACAGAAGGAAAAATAAAAGAGTTAAGGGAAGGGTGAGGCAGATCAGCAGCCAAACTACCTACAGAACACAGGCTTCTTCTGGCCCAGCTATACAAAAACGGAACTGAAACTACACAGCAGAACACATCCGGAGAGCAGTGGAGGGCATGGTTTCTATGACCGACATTTAGAGACGGCTGAGCCTGAGCTTCTCCTCAAAATACCCGGGTGTGTGAGATTCAAGAGCAGGGCTTTAGCACAACTCCCTTTCTCCCAGATCCATTACAAACTGAGAAACAAAGATACTAGTTTCCAACAGTTGTATTAAATCCTTATTT